AATGAGCACATTGTCCGGTACTACAATGCAGGAACTGATTGTGGATACAGAATCCTCTTTATCTTTGTTGCCAGAGCATAAATACAAACAGTACTTTTCTGAATTGCCTCTGGAACATGCTGATGTGCGTCTTGTCACATATTCCAAGGATAACCTTCCTGTGCTGGGACGCATTAACACTCAGGCAATACATATACATTGTTCAGTACCTGCTACATTCTATATTGTGAAAAATATTATTCTATATAAAATATTCTATATAAAGTGGAAACCTACTGATGGGCATGGACTTAATATCTTCCCTGAATCTGTGCATAAAAGGAACCACAGTACTCATTTCCAAATAATCCGTGTCTGAGGTGTCAAACTCCTTTGCACTTTTGACTGTGCGAAGAACTTTATGCATCAAGTGAAACTGCGTGAAAATGTTGCGCCTGTGCAACAGAAACTGCGTCGATTACCATTTTCGGTGAGGGACACTGTGTCGACAGAACTGAACCATTTGTTAGCAGCAGACGTTATTGAAAGAGTAGATGCTTCACCCTGGATATCACCTATCATAGTGACCCAGAATAAATCAGGAGATACCAGAATGTGTGTGGATCTCAGGGAACCGAACAAGGCAATCGTTGTGGACATTAACCCATTCTGCACATTGAGGAACTGTTTTCGCAGCTGAGAGGTGCAGTGATGTTTTCCACAATTGATCTTGCAAATGCCTACCATCAGGTCCCATTACATGAAGATAGCAGAGACCTCACTGCCTTCATAACACATGAGGGTCTGATCTGTTACAAAAGAGTCTGTTATAGATTAGCTTCAGCCACGGCAGCATTCCAGAAATTGATGTCCACTATACTCAAAGATGTTCTAGGTGTCCAGTGTTACCTGGATGATGTTATCGTGTTTGGTGATTCTATTGCTAGTCATGATGCTCACCTAAAAACAGTGCTGCACAAATTTCATGAAGCAGGACTGCATTTAAATGAACAGAAATGTAAGTTTCACCAGGAAAAACTCACATTCCTGGGCCATACCATCTCTAAAAGAGGAATTGATGCCAGATAACAGTCACCTGGAGGCAATACGTAATGCCCCCCCCCCCCATTTGGTCTACGTTAAGATTGTATGGCATCTTATGGCATGGTGTGCAAAATTAATTCCAAACTTTGCAGCCGTAGTAGAACCTATGAGAGATGTGCTTGGAGCAAATTCAGACTTCCATTGGACTACAGGTGTAACGTTTAAACATTCTTAACTGTTTTATATCTATATATTTTATTTTAGGCAAGTCGTGATGATTTCAGAAGGCTAGATTGATCAAACAGGCGTCTGCCGCTGGTCATTGAAAAACAAAAACCTATAATTAACTTAATAAAAAACGAAACGTAATCACTTTACCATTACATACAAAACTGAACTATTTTAATATAGTTCACTTTATAATCAGTTTACTGCATATAGCCTACTGAAACATTAGACAAAAACAAAGGAAAAATTGCAAGAATAATAAAACACAGAACATTAACTGGAGTGTGAGAATCATTTTACTATGCTGCAGTGTAGCAACACATTTGTCTCTTTTTGCTTTCCGTACATCCTGTTGTGTTTGGTGTATTTGCATGCTGCAGTGTTGCCAAATCCACAGTATTTATTCCGCGGAATTGGGCTACTTTGGGGCAATGTTTGATTAACTATTTGGTCGGGTTTATTACACAGACCTGGCAACCCGAGGGGGAACACAAATTCCAGAGGGGAACAGAATCGACTGCTACACCGGCTCTAAATAAGACATGCAAATCATGCAGCAAAATTGGGCATTTTGCAAAAGTATGTCGTTCAACACGGAAACAAGAGATCAAAGGAATTGAAGTCCCTGAACTGACTGTCCTGTACATGACTAGCACATCTCCAGCACCAAACTAAATTTTGTGCAATGTCCAAATGAGCACATTGTCCGGTACTACAATGCAGGAACTGATTGTGGATACAGAATCCTCTTTATCTTTGTTGCCAGAGCATAAATACAAACAGTACTTTTCTGAATTGCCTCTGGAACATGCTGATGTGCGTCTTGTCACATATTCCAAGGATAACCTTCCTGTGCTGGGACGCATTAACACTCAGGCAATACATATACATTGTTCAGTACCTGCTACATTCTATATTGTGAAAAATATTATTCTATATAAAATATTCTATATAAAGTGGAAACCTACTGATGGGCATGGACTTAATATCTTCCCTGAATCTGTGCATAAAAGGAACCACAGTACTCATTTCCAAATAATCCGTGTCTGAGGTGTCAAACTCCTTTGCACTTTTGACTGTGCGAAGAACTTTATGCATCAAGTGAAACTGCGTGAAAATGTTGCGCCTGTGCAACAGAAACTGCGTCGATTACCATTTTCGGTGAGGGACACTGTGTCGACAGAACTGAACCATTTGTTAGCAGCAGACGTTATTGAAAGAGTAGATGCTTCACCCTGGATATCACCTATCATAGTGACCCAGAATAAATCAGGAGATACCAGAATGTGTGTGGATCTCAGGGAACCGAACAAGGCAATCGTTGTGGACATTAACCCATTCTGCACATTGAGGAACTGTTTTCGCAGCTGAGAGGTGCAGTGATGTTTTCCACAATTGATCTTGCAAATGCCTACCATCAGGTCCCATTACATGAAGATAGCAGAGACCTCACTGCCTTCATAACACATGAGGGTCTGATCTGTTACAAAAGAGTCTGTTATAGATTAGCTTCAGCCACGGCAGCATTCCAGAAATTGATGTCCACTATACTCAAAGATGTTCTAGGTGTCCAGTGTTACCTGGATGATGTTATCGTGTTTGGTGATTCTATTGCTAGTCATGATGCTCACCTAAAAACAGTGCTGCACAAATTTCATGAAGCAGGACTGCATTTAAATGAACAGAAATGTAAGTTTCACCAGGAAAAACTCACATTCCTGGGCCATACCATCTCTAAAAGAGGAATTGATGCCAGATAACAGTCACCTGGAGGCAATACGTAATGCTCCCCCCCCCCATTTGGTCTACGTTAAGATTGTATGGCATCTTATGGCATGGTGTGCAAAATTAATTCCAAACTTTGCAGCCGTAGTAGAACCTATGAGAGATGTGCTTGGAGCAAATTCAGACTTCCATTGGACTACCAAAGCTCAGAAGAGTTTCAAGAATGTTAAAGAACTGATTGCAGAGAGCTCTGTGCTGGCTTTATTTGATCCTGCATTGCCTACAATTGTCACAACAGATGCATCGGATTATGGTATTGGTGGTGTTTTGACCCAGCTCCATTCAGATAAATCGGAAAGGACTGTGACTTTCGCTTCCAGAGCCCTGACCGCTACAGAGAGGAAATATTCGGTAGTCGAAAAAGAAGCCCTCGCATGCATCTGGACCACTGAGCATTGGAGAACATATCTGTGGGGCATAAAATTTAAGTTGAGGTCCGACCTAAGACCCGAGCAGGTTCGGGTCCAAAACTTCGATGAGTACCTCGGACACAGGTCGGGTTCAATATTAGCGGTCTCGGGTAATTTAAAATAAACATGCTTTTTCCAAATGGACCCGATTAGACCAGAATTCTTTTAAACTATTCCGAATGCGTAGGTTACTTTCACTTTAGTGTTAAGTGAGGAACGCACATAGAAAAGCACACAGAAATCATCTTATAGATATGAGATCTGTCAGGAAAATCCACTTGCTTCATTATGCTGCGTGTTCATGCAGGGCTTTTCTTTTTTTGTGTGCAGAAGCCTTTTGCCGGAGATTAGGTTGCAGACAACACTAGCGAATCCATTAATTATTAGGCTATCAGTGGCCCCTTCCTACTTAGACTTTGCACCCGGCATGGCCAAAGTGTTTCTCTACCCTCGAGCGGGGTATGTCCCGAAGTATCCCTCTGTTATACCACAGCCTATCGTGCTGCAGGCCTTTTGTTCTCCTCCCTTCAGGGAGCCAGACCAGCAGAAGCTTAATTGCATGTGTCCAGTGCGAGCACTGGACACATACATCCACAGAGCTGCCCTGTGGAGGAGGGCGGACCAACTGCTTGTAAGCTATGGTCCCCCTAAGTGGGGTCTGCCTGCTACGAAGCAGACCCTCAGTCGGTGGATAGTTGATGCCATTACTACTGCCTATGAGTCCTCTGATCTCCCCTCACCATTGGGAGTCAAGGCTCACTCGTACCTAGGTATGGCGGCCTCCAAGGCCGCCTTAGCAGGTGTGTCTATGCAGGACATCTGCAACGCAGCAGGATGGTCCACGCCCCTCACTTTCGTCAGGTTCTATGGCCTTGATATGCGAGCCACTCCTGGCTCTTCTGTTCTCTTGTCTTAGCTGTGCTCTTCCACACTAGACAGGGATTTGCAAGTCTGGCGGCGTGGGCATTCTCGTTCCCTTAGTGTCTTCAGACGCAGCTCGAGTTCCTGAAGGGTAACGTCTCCAGGTTACATATGTAACCATGGTTCCCCAAAGGGAACAAGACGCTGTCTCAGATCCATACTTCCGGCATCCCTGCGAGCACTTGCTTAATTCCTAGAAGCTAACGCCGGTTCCACCTCACGTGCTTTTATAGCTTCCTGGTCACTACGTCACCTGCCTATGACGTCTCGCCCTTCCATTGGACTGATTACACATGTGATTCAGAGCGTGGTCACGCTGGGGGCGTTCCCTTAGTGTCTTCGGACGCAGCGTCTCGTTCCCTTCGGGGAACCATGGTTACATACGTAACCTGGAGACGTTCTTAAAGCACTTGGACCCGGTAATTGCAGCTTGTAGCTATATTATAAGATTTTTATCTTGAGTGTTTCCACATGCGTATGCGTTAAGCAAAGACGTGAATGGTTTTAAGTGGAAAACTAGTAAAATACACTGCAGTTGTGATTATAGTCATTCAAGAACATTACGTGAATGCAGCATTAATCTAATTTCAAATCACATTGTTAAACTTGTTTTTTCCTTTTACACAGATCCAGAGGGCGTGAAGCTGAATCTGGTTGTGTGTGGGAGTAACAGAGGATTAAAATCCTTCATATCAAACCTGATCCTGAGGCAGAGCGAGAGAAGATCAGAGCTGAGCTCAGAGTGTGTGAGGAGAGACGTGGAGCTTGATGGACGTCTGATCAGTCTGGTGGAGCTTCCAGCTCTGTTCAACACTCAGCTCTCAGAGGAGGACGTGATGCATCAGACTCACCGCTGTGTGTCTCTCTGTCATCCTGGAGTTCATGTGTTCATCCTCATCATTCCTGATGCTCCACTTAATAATGAAGACAAAGCAGAAATGGAGGAGATCCAGAGGATATTCAGCTCAAGAATCAACAAACACATCATGATCCTCATAAAGCAGAATCCAGAGCATCAGACAGCAGAACTAAATGAAGAAACACAGACTGTCATTGAGAGATTTGGAGGACGACATAATTTCATTGACCTGAACACACAAGTGTCTGTGTTGATGGAGAAACTGGAGCAGATGGTTGAGGAAAATAGTCGTGTTTGTTTCTCCACAGAGACATTGATGGAGGCACAGGTGGAAAAAATACAGAAATTAGAGAAAATGAAGAGGAGATTCCATTCATTAGAGACATGGATTCAATCACAAGGTAATGATCATAAAAACCACATGAATTAAACACACTTTTCATGATTACTAAAATCTACAAAGGATTGTAAGACAAAACAATAGAACGATATGCAGAGTTCATGAGAAATATAATTAGCACATGATGCTTTAATGTTTTTGATGTATAAATTATACACAGTATTCTCTGGTGACCTGTATAATTGACAATCTTAACTTGAAATTCAATATGTCATTTTTAGTTTATCTTTGATCTATCTTTAGATTCAAGAGAAAAAGAAGATGAACTGAGAATTGTGCTGCTGGGAAAAACTGGAGTTGGGAAGAGTTCAACTGGAAACAACATTTTGGGAAGAGAAGCATTTATATCAGACATTTCTCAAACATCTATTACTAAAGTGTGTCAGAAAGAGAAAGCTGAAATCAGCAGCAGAGACATTACTGTGATCGACACTCCAGGACTGTTTGATACTGAACTCAGTAATGAACAAATCCAGAGAGAAATCAGCAACTGCATCTCTATGATCCTGCCTGGACCACATGTGTTTCTCTTACTGATATCACTGGGACGATTCACTCAAGAAGAACAAACATCAGTGAAGATCATCCAAAAAACATTTGGTGAAAACTCTTTAATGTATACCATTGTGCTATTTACCAATGGAGACAAACTGAAGAACAAAACCATCGAACAGTTTCTGGGAGAACCAGGATCTGCCCTTAAAAACCTGATTGATGAGTGTGGAAACAGATACCATGTGTTTAATAATGAGACTGGAGACCGAACACAGGTGACTGATCTACTGCAGAAGATTGACAACATGGTGAAAACAAACGGAGGGAGTTACTACTCATGTAAGAAGTTCAGAGAGATGGAAAGAGAAATACAAGAACAACAGAAGAAGATACTCTTGATGAAACATGAAGAAGAAATAGAGAAGATAAAGACTGTAATGAAGGAAGAAAAACAGGAGAGTAAGAGAAGAGAGGACGAATTTAGAGAGAGAGCAGAAAGATATAAAACAGAGATAAAAGAAAGAGATGATCAAGAGAGAAAGATACGAGAGGAATGGGAGAAACAGAAACAACAGGAAAGACAAAGAAGAGATGAAGAGGAGGAGAAATGGAGAAGGAAAGAACAGGCAATGTGGGATGAATATAATAAGAGACTTAAAAAAGAAGGAGAGAGAATGAAGAAGATGATAAAGGCAGAAAGACAGAATCATGATAAAGAGAGAAAGAGAATAATAGAAGAATATATAGAAGAACAATATAAAAGAGACATGAAAGACATAGAAGAACAAGAGAGAAAGATTCGAGAGGGACTGCTGAGAGAACGAGAGGAATGGGAGAAACAGAAACAACAGGAAAGACAAAGAGAAGAAGAGGAGAAAGAAACACATAGATTTATTGAACTTTCTACAGGAGCTCCTGATGTTCAGCACACAAACAGTAAGTGAAAACTATAACCAACCAATTTTGAAATTTATTAGAAAAAAATAAATATTTGGGTGTAAACAAAACTTTAATTTTACTATACTTGCTGTATAGTAACTTGCTGTTTGGCAGTTTATGTGGTTGCTGTATTGTTGAGGAAATATTTCACTGGTTTATAATCATCACTCTTACCAAAAAGTAGTATACTTCAAGTTTATTTTATTAAGTATACTTTATGTAGTAAGTATACAAATATCAGTGTACTAGTAGTATACTTGTAAGTGTACTATTTCAATACTCATTGGGACTAAATTGGCCTACTTTCTAGTATATAAAAGTATACTTTTAAGTATAACAGTAGTAAACTTTGAGTACACAACTAGTTTACATCAATATTTTAGCTTGTACTGCAACTATACTAAAAGTGAACTTATAGGTACACTGATAGTTTACTAATTAGATACTTGTAGTAACATGTTTAGTACACTTTGAAGTATAGTCTCAGTAAACTACTAGTTTAGTAGTTTTATACTGCAAGTATACTCGTAAGTTTTCTTTAAGTGAACTTTACATCATACTTTAAGTATACTACTATGTCCCTATAGGTATTAATTTGTATATGTTTTGTTATATGAATATCTGAACATACAAAACATCAAAAAAAGAACAGGGTATCTGTTTGTAAACAAAAACATTTTATTCTAGCTTCATGCATTCTTTTTTAAACACTTGAATGTGGGTAAGTTTCATTAAAAAATTAAGAAATAAACAATATTTTGAACAAAAAGCTGAAAAAAGACTATGAATTGGATTCAGAATGATAATCAAAACGTAGATAGAGTCGATCAACACCCCAAAGCTTGACAGTCATTAGTACCTCTTCATTGGTCGACATTTTATTCTGCGTTGTCGCCCTTCCATGTAACATCCAAATCAGTCAAATCACATAACGTGACAGTCGTAATAGACTGCTGCCGGATGTGCTTGATACTAAAGTTAAAAGTGTATTAAGCTGTGAAAAAGACACTATTCCTCAGGTGGTTTTCTGTGCACTCGTACAGAGACGAAGGGAAACACAGACACGTATAGGTTACTTTGGGCTTCGGGTATGCGCTTAAATTGATAAATACACACAAAAATATGTTCAAATGTCTGCATTGTGAGTTTTTTTTTCTTAAACACAGTCAGTCATGTCTTAAATGAACATAAACACTTCTAAAATTAATCAAATGCTTTTCAGTATATTAGATCTGTGCATTCGGTCTTAAAGTATGCTCCTTGTGGTAGAGCATTGCGTTAGCAGCACAAAGGTCATGGGTTCAATTCCCAGGGAACACACATACTGATGAAAAACGTATAGCCTGAATGCACTGTAAGTCACTTTGGATAAAAGCATCTGCTAAATGCATACATTTAATTTCAATTTTAAATTTAAAGTGACAGCAGCCTAATGCAGCCTGCTGCTGTCTGTGTCATTAATGTTAATAAAACAACAAAAGAAGACGATAGACTTATTCACTGCTCTTCACTGAATAACTTTAGTAACTTTAATAAGAATCAATGCACATTTAATTCATATGGTGAAGATTATGCAGTGTTTTATTTTTACATTTGATTACTTTATTTAGTTTCTGTATAGTAGGCTATTATTTTATGGTAGGCTAAACTGTTTATTTCATTTGATCTTTTTTTATATTGTATTTCTCCTATTGTTTGTAATTTTTAGTTTTTGTAATTTTCTTGTTTTCAGCTTACTGTTGTCTGCTGACAGTTAAACTGCTTTAAAAGAACAGATGAATGGGTTGAGGGTCATTGTTGAGTTTTTATGAACGCACTGACAGGTGCCCCTTGACAAAGTTTGCTTAGGGCCCCCAGAAGTCTAGGACCGGGACTCTGTGAGTCTTTGTATTCATGTCCCAAGTCAAATTGCAAGTCCTGCTTAAAAGTTGCAATGTCATAAACACACTGAAGAGTTGTGATAGACAGTCGAGGTCAGAATTATGAGCCCCCTTGGTAAATATGAGCAAATCTGCATTTTTTTATCTTTAATTATTATTATTATTATTATTATTATTATGAAGAAGAAGAATCTTATTTTTATTAGTAACATTAATATTATAAAGACAGGGAATATTCAGGGAAGACAGTTATCCTACGTTTTATTTAATGGGATAAGGGACCTGTATAATGGATAAGGGTGTGGTGACCCATAAAAACATTGAAGGGCCGATTACATGACAACGTTTTCAGTCACAAATGGGAAACTTTTTTTGTTTAGCCACTAACGGGCATATTTTTGAAAACAGGTTTTAAAGTGCAAGTTTTTGAAAACGCCACTGTTATCGTTTCTGTGTAAACACCCAATACGGGAATCTTTGAAAAAGGTGACGTCATGCGCGTGCACACAACAATGGCGGAGTACATGGTACTGTTGTTGCTGCTCAAGAGTTTGGTAACGCTTCTTCAGCAAAGTGTGGATTTACTTCACCAATATTACAACCAACAGCGGAAACGCATCATATACAACATATAATCATCACTTCCCTACAGGTACTGTTTACTAACAAGGTGACAGCGCCAACTACTGGCCTGGCATACGTAATACAGTGTTTTTGGTCGTTTTCGCGGATATGTGTAAATGCGAATCGTTTTAAAAACGTTGCCGTGTATATGTGAAACTTTTAAAAAATGCAAGGGAAAAACTTTTCCGTTTTTGACTACATCGTTGTCGTGTAAACGTAGCTTCAGAATCTTGAGATGGCCTGTTGCAAATATTTTACATTTCATGTTTGAGTTTGTTACTCAGGGTCCCAGATGTAATCAACTGTTGTTAAACCGTATAAACCCTATTATTGTCACTTTCAGATGATGAAGATTCACCATCAGATTTAGGATGTTTAAGAATCTTGCTGTTTGGGAGGACAGGAAGTGGAAAGTCGGCCAACACTATCCTCAGAAAAAAATGGGTTTTACAGTAAGAACAGTTCATGTTTAGTGACCACTGCTTGTACAAAGATAATTGGTGAGGTTGGTGGTCGATCAGTAGCTGTTATTGATACTCCAGGACTCTTTGACCTCTCACTGACAAAAGAAAAAGTGCAGGAAGAAATAATGAAGTGTATTTCACTGTCAGCACCTGGACCACATGCGTTCATCATTGTGCTGAGTCTGGGAGGAATCACCAAAGAGGAGAAGGACACTTTAGACATGATCAAGATGATCTTTGGCCCAAAAGCAGCAGAGTTCAGCATTGTTCTCTTCACTAAAAGAGGTGATCTGAGAGGACAAACAATAGAGCAATATGTAGAGAAAAATGCTGAACTCAAGAAACTAACCAGTGAATGTGGAAACAGATTCCTGACTTTTGACAACGCAGAGACACAAGATCAGACACAAGTTACTCAGCTGTTGAATATGATAAAACAGATGAATCAGGGCCAATACTTCACTAATGAGATGTTTGAGGAGGCAGCGATCTCCACTGAACAGAGAATGAAAATGATAGAAGAGAATGAAAGAAAAAATCTGGCTCAAGTTGAAGTATTAAAAGCCAAATATGACATGGAAATCAAAAGCATGAGAAAGAGACTGGAGAAGAAGAAACAAAGGACAGAAGAGGAAAGAGAGAGACTGAAGAACAAGTTCAGAGAACAAGAGGAAACACTCAGGAGAGAGTTTGAGGAGAAAGAAAAATCAGATCAGAAGAAACGAGAGACAGAGGATCAGAAACAATCAAAAGAGGAGGAACAGCAAAGAAATGAATATGATCAAAGAATAGAGATGGAGAGAGAGATTGAAGATCAGAGAATACAGTATGAAGAAGAGCTAAAAGAAAGAGAAGAGAGAAAGAGAAAAGAAGAATATAAACGACAGCAGAGAGAATGGGAGGATGAGAAGAACAGACAGATGAGAGAACGAGAGGAAGAGGAAAAAAAGAGAAAAGAAAAACATGAGGAACAGCTGAGAGAAAAACAAGAAGAACTGGAGAACAAGAGAAAGAAATTTGAAAGAGAGAGAGAAGAAGAACATATGATTGAAAGAAAGAGAGAACAGAAGAAGAGAGAATATGAAGAGAAGATAAATGAAATGAAAAGACATTATGAGCAGCTGGAGCGAGAGAGGAAAGAGGAGTGGAAGAAAAGAAAACGAGAGGATGAAGAGAGACGAGTGGAGAAGAGAAAGAGATGGGAGAAAATTATAGAAGATCTGAAACGAGAGCAAGAGGAGGAGATCAAGAGAAGAGAAGGAGAGGAGACAGAAAGAATAGACAGAGAAGAAAAAGAGTGTGATGAAATGAAACCGAAACAGAAACAGAAAAAGGAAATAGAAAAGATGAAGAAGAAAGTTGAAGATGAAGCCAGAAAACAAGAAAAAGAATTGAACGATTTCAGCAAAAGAGTAGATCAGCAGGTTCAGGAGCTCAAGGAGAAAATAACCATAACCTATGAAAAGGAAAAATCAAAAAATAGAATTTGTCATGTCATGTGAAACATTTTTAAACATTATTGATGAGCCAAATTAATGGCATGTGTGTTTTGAAGGTTTTTGTTTCTGTATTTCTCTCTCTCTCTATTCATATAATCAGGGCTATTCCCATTTGCTCCAGAGAGTTCAGTCACTTACACGCCTGTCAGTTATTAAGAGATCCTGAAGACCATAATGAAGGTGTTTGATTAGAGTTGGAGCTCGACAGGAGCAGACTGAACAAAAGTCATACAAAAAGTCATATGAAATTCACTTTCTCTCAGTAGATTTTAAAACAACATGAATCATGGCAGACCTTAAAAGACTTAAAAGGAAAAAAAAGAAAGAAAGAAACTCAAACATATGGATGTATACTGTATGTTCAGTGTAAGTTTGTACAGGTGCACAGGTACACGCTTCAGTGGAGCAGCCACACATTTCTTCATTTATAATCATTTAATAATTTAATCAATGTTCATGTATTTAATCATTTATTATATTACTTATTATTTTCCTTTATTAGTGCTTGCTATTGTTGTTTAATCTAATGGTGATGGTCCACTAGTGACAAAACTCTGCTCAGTCTTGCTGATAATGCTAAAAATGTGACTGTAGTGAGTGTGTTTTATCTCAGTTTATTTCAGTGCATGGCCAATATATGTATATTTATACACATCAACATATACAGTATATACCCAATTACAGCTGGAAAGAGGGACGTTTTGTTTCAGGGCTCGAAATTTACTTTTAACATTTTGGAGCTGCCAGCCGTTACGCTGAATTGGCAGGTTTGGTGCTCCATAATTTTTAGTTAAAAGCTTCAACAATTGAACCTGATTTTGAATTATTTGCCACACACTTGTCCTGGCATTTATTGTTAGTGATGCAGTGATCTTGATTTGTCATGGCCAATTCAGATTGCCGATGTTTTACAAGCAAATGAGTTGATTCTCATAGCCGTTTTTAAAATGTATTTAATGTTTTTAAGTAAGAGACAAGCTAGAATGTAAATATGAGTACATGAACACGATTTTTATTTCCACTATTACAGGCCATTCTCTCTATATCCATTTAAAAAAAATTTAAAGACAACCACTGCATTTTAAACATTAAAATTAGATTGTATAATTTCAAAATCTGAAGCAAAAAAACAAAATGGTCTGACTTAAGCTTTGTGAATTATGCTACTGTTACATCCATAGGAAAGTAGGAACTTATTTGATTTGTGTACAATGTGGGGCCTGTTATTATGTGTGTGTGCTCGGTGTTCTTCTATGTTGCTCTTGGTTCTGCTGTCTGCTTGACAGGCTCATGAGTGCCACCTGATTCCTGTCCCAGCTCGTAAAGTGGAGTACAAGGGAACCCAGAGAATTCCTGTCCTGGGAGAGAGAATGGGGCTTTCCTCTTTGAGAGACTCTACCATCTTCTGGTCCCAGCGCTGTTGTTTTCTATGTTGTGCATGTTGCCTTGCTTGTAGTGCTCAGGTAAAAAGCTGTGTAGTGTGCTGAGACTTTAGATCAATCTGAACTGTGCAGAGTGTTTCAGCTAAAATTGTGAGCATCGGATATTCTACTGTGTTATCCTTCTAATTTTCTCACTATTCTAAATAATTTATGTGTGAACATTTGTAGGGAGGTGGATGCTTTTCTTTTTAAACACATTTTCTCCTGTGTTTAGTTAAAGAGGGAGTTAGGGAATTGTCAATGCATTTTATTTTCTTTCTTTTTCTTTTTTGGTAAGTTAATTATTTATTTTTAAAAAACCTAGTGAGAAAGCTCTTTTGTTTGTTGTTTTGGCCTTTCCCCTCCTGAAGCCTTTGTTCATTTACATCCTACAGTTCATTTAATAAAACATCTTGTTTTATTTCAAATATGGTGTCACTGAGTGTTTTGCATGTCTGCTCTGGTGCCTGGAGATGGCAGTTTTCTCATTCTCTCCCCATTATTACACTCTAAAAACTGCAGGGTTAAAAACAACCCAATTTGGGTTATTTTGGCAACCCAGCACTGGGTCAAAAAGGGACGAACCCAGCGCTGGGTTGTTTTGACCCAATAAGTTGGGTTATATGTTTGACCCAGCATGCTGGTGTCAGGGGCTGGCGTCTGGTGTTCTCCCTCTCACCACCAGAGGTCGCCATCTCCCATCCTCCCGGACTCTTTCTCCGTCACCTTGACACCACACACCTGGGCACCCACTCACACACACACACACACAGCTGTCGCCCATCCGGGACTCCATCACCTGCACTCCACACACCTGTGCACACACTCACTCTCTCACAGCTGTGGCCCGTCATGAGGACTATTTAGGCGCCTTCCCCACGCCACTCGGGGCGGATGATTAATGTTTGTTTCGGTGACTGACGCAGCCAGAGGTGGCCGCATTGCGTCAGATTCCTGTATCTGTTCTCAGCCTGTGTCTCAGAGTCTCAGCTCTGTTTATGTTTCTGTTTGTTACTTTGTTTTCCCCAGCAGTGTAAATAAAGCCTGCATTTGGACCCAAACCCTAGTTCACACGGTGTGTCTTTCCTGACCGCGCCGTGACAGCTGGCTTGCTTTTTTATGGTTTAAAATTATTACATTGCTAGGCTAAAATGAACCCAAATCGAGCTAGACATTAAACCTACAAATCTTGTTCATTTTAAAATCACTTTTACACACACAGAATGACTATCAAAAGGTAAATATTTATTTAAAACAAGATGAGAAAACAGTCTAAAGTAACATGCATGTAAGAAGAAATGCAGAAAAGTATGGCATTAACAGCTACAGAGTTTATAAATGAAAAACTAAACATTTGTTGAATATAACTTTTAAGATCAAATTTGACTTTTTTTGGTCCATTTTATATATTGTATAAAAATATTATACAAAAACACTATTATACAATAATTGTACAATTAGTTAATAGTTAAGTTCTTTACAAACTATTCTGGCATGACAGTAAATAAACCACAACATTAACACTGATATTATAACATTTATCAGAAACATATGTGTGAAAGAGTGTGAGCATGTATATGAATTTCATCCCAGTCACCACCTGTTCTTCATCAGTGGCCTAAAAAGAGAAAATCATTTGAAAAAAGAAAACATTTAATTAAAATCTATCAATTTTCAGACATAGGTGCATCCACATCAGTAAGGATAGGTAAATAGTCTTTTATAATTTCAACCACTTTGTGTGATTGTTTAATGTCTGTCTACCACAGTGTTCTAGAATGCTGTAATGGCAGCACTAGTGTGAGGGCATGTAATATTGTTTAAATAAAAATATAGGTGCAGAACCTGGGCTTCCATACCACCTCAGCAGTGCCACAAACTGATCACCTCCATGCCACGCCGAATTGAGGCAGTAATTAAAGCAAAAGGAGCCCCTACCAAGTATTGAGTACATGTACAGTAAATGAACATACTTTCCAGAAGGCCAACAATTCACTAAAAATGTTTTTTTATTGGTCTTATGAAGTATTCTAATTTGTTGAGATAGTGAATTGGTGGGTTTTTGTTAAATGTGAGCCAAAATCATCACAATTAAAAGAACCAAAGACTTAAACTACTTCAGTCTGTGTGCATTGAATTTATTTAATACACGAGTTTCACAATTTGAGTTGAATTACTGAAATAAATGAACTTTTCCACGACATTCTAATTTATTGAGATGCACCTGTATTATACATGATAAGCTTTTAGATATTGTTCTTTGAGGAGGAACTCCATCTTTGAGTTGATCTGAATCTGACAGATGAAACTGTAAGGTTTCTCTCCAGTGTGGATCCTCTGGAGCCGCTTCAAATCTTCAGCTGTAATAAAAGTCTTCTCACACTCAAAGCACATATGATCTCTCACACCAGTGTGTATCTTCTGATGAACCTTTAAACTCTGCAGATGTGAAAAACTCTTTACACACAAATAACATGAATTTAACTTTCAGGTGATACTTCAGAGGCTGAAGCCCACAAAAATGTTAGTTGGAACTGCTGGTCTTGAAGATTAACTTTAGATAATGTTTCTTTGTTAGGACAGATTTATACAGACAAGATTTTATTTCTTTCTGAACACATTATTGTGTCACGTTTGGTGAGGACACGATGTCACTCCTGAAAGTGCTGGACCTGAAGATGAACTACTTACCGTGAATCTTTTTTGTATGTCTGTGTAGATTAGATGGACTGAAACTCTTCCCACATGCAGTGCAGTGATACGGTTTCTCTCCAGTGTGGATCCTCTCATGTTTTTTCAGATGTTCTGACTGACTGAATCTCGTCACAGTGTGAACACTTGTAAGGTTTCTCTCCAGTGTGGATCCTCTCGTGCACTTTTAGATATTTAAAAGCACATATATTCTTTCACACCAGTGTGTATCTTCTGATGAGCTTTTAAACTCTGCAAATTTGAAAAACTCTTTCCACATAAAGAAAATGAATGTGGTTTCTCATTTGTATGAACTTTCAGGTGATTATTTAGGCTTGAAGCCCACAAAAATGTTTTTCCACATTGATCACATTCATGCAGCTTCTCTCCAGTGTGGATGTTCATGTGGTGCTTAAGGTGTGATGATTGTCTGAAACTCTTCCCGCACTGATTACTTGTGAATGGTTTCTCTCCAGTGTGGACTCTCATGTGAATCTCAAGTTTCTGTTTGCTTGTCAAACTCTTACCACACTGAGTGCAGGTGAAAGATGTCTCGTTTCTTTTCTTTAAATCTTTCTGTCTGGTTTGAGAGTGACTCAAGGGTTTTTCTCCAGTTTTGACATGATGCTTCTCTTCACTTAGTTTTTCATTCTCCTCGTTTTATTCAATTAACTCTGAAATTTAAGAAAAATATTTAATTTTCAGTAAATAACAGAGAAAGACATACAATTGAACCCTGCTATAACAGTGCAAAGTATACAATTGCTACACAAATTTTTGATACATTTTTATAAATTATATGTAGGGCCATACCCACAATTGAGGTCCGGTCCGGACCTTGGTATTCTTCCAATAACAGAAGTTGTAAAATAATTACCTTATATTAATTGTGCTTTAGTGCAGCAAGGATAAAAAAAGTCAAGATAACAGATATTCTCATTTAAGATGCCTCAGCGGTAGGGGCTGTGCGATATATATCATCTTAACGATGTGCAATTTGACATTATCGAGTATTTTGTAAAAACCATTCAAAACACCCCTAAAGAGTGCACGCGTACATTACGTGAAGTATAGACTAGTGCGCATGCACATTTAGAGTGTGTTCTTTCACTGCATGATTCAGTCTTATTAAAATGCATTTAGAATGATCACAAATTCAAGACATGGGGGCAGATAATGTATATATTTATACCACTTCATATAGTTAATCAATTTCACATGAAGAGTGTTGTTTTTCTCCAAAAAATTACCATGATTACAAATGTGATATTGATTTTTTTTACAACACCTTAATAAACAAGAAGTTAATTAAGAGACTTACATTTTAAACACCGTATTGCCTTACAGGGGTCATATGATGCCCATTTTCCACAAGTTGATATGATTCTTTAGGGTCTTAATGAAAAGTCTGTAACATAGTTTGGTTAAAATTTCTCAATGGTAATGTAAAAAACACCTTTTTTACCCTGTCAAAAACAGCTCTTTTCAGATCAAGCCATTTTTGTAGCATTTCCCTTTAAATGTTAATGAGCTCTGCTGACCCTGCCCCTCTCTTCCGAGCCACTCTCTGAAGGACTGTTTACTTTAGCTGCATTCATCGTGAAACTTGCTAATTAGCAGTCATCACGAGCCGCAGGGTTTAATTTGGATTTTGTTACCATTGCCATGCATTATAAGACTGATGGACTCCAACAGTTGGACTTAAAAATCATCAAATGTGTTCTACTGAAGAAACAAAGTCACCTACATCTTGGATGCCCTGGGGGTAAGCAGATAAACATCACATTTTTATTCTTGGGTGAACTATCCCGTTAAGTCTGTTAACAGCAATAAAATCAGCTTAAATGAGTCAATTAACAGATCTGAAGTCATCAGCATAATGAATGAGGTGAAAACAGGGGCTATTATTATGAAATAAAGAGGATTTTCAGCAGCTGAAAATATTGATGACCCTCAGACTATAAACACTCATTAAACAAGCCATTCAGGATCAGCAGCAGAGCATCTCACTTTAAATATAAGCATCTGTGACTGTGGGTAGTGATTATTTGTGTAAGAATATTTGTTGAAAGACTATAAAACTGCTCTAATAAAACAAACCCGTTCTCATCAGTCTGCGTGTAAATAACACAGCTTTACACTTTCTAATTGCGTGTAATGCATACGCTAAATGCCAATTTTGCGTGCATATGATACGCCAATCCTTCACATTAACTTCAGTGGAGAGTAGATGCGTACAAACACCACGCGTCATCTTCAGCGGCAGTGACGTCACCAGTAAGGCTCAGTTCGTGCAGTTCACCTGATGCGCGTACACCTTCAAACAGGTAAGGGCAACGATCTTTTTTTGTAATGAGATAATGTGGTTAAGGTATTATTTTAATTATTTCAGTGTTTCTGCATCACGTTGCATGGGGTCATGTG